GGCGGTCGCCGGCGGGCACCCAGGCACACACCTCCCTGGCACCCGTCTCCAGCCTTTGCCTCTTGCTCGCCTTCCTCCACAAAAAACAAGCCTTGCCAGCCTGCCGAAACACAGGAGAGCGACCCAGGGCCCAGCGGCAACAAAAATACCTAAGATAACTCTGTGGAAATCGTGCACGCTTCAGTTCTTCCCTTTTTGACGAAAACTGAGCGGTGCCGGGTCATGACAAAAGGGAAAAAAAAAAAAAAACAAACGCAATATTTTTTTTGTGTGTGTTTTCTCTTTTTTTCCCCTTTTTTAGCCCGCCGGCGAGGCTCCCCCTTAAGCAGGGCGGGAGCCAGGAGCGGGCGCGCGCTCCCGAGGCCGCCCCGGCCGCCACGGTCAGATGATGCGCGAGGCTCCCAGCCTGGCAGGCGGCCGGCTCTGCTCCCGCGACTCTGATGCTGTCATCTCCGCCTTAACCCCTGATAACCTCCCCGGCCCGCGGGAGGCCACGGGGGCTTTGCTTTTTTCTTTTTTGGGCTTTTTTGCCCGCTGCCACCAAGGTGAAGGAAAGCAAAAGCATTTAGAATATACATATATACGCACACATATGCTTTTTTTAAAGGAGGTAATGCTCAAAAATAAACAAGGGGGGGGGAAATATATCTCTATATTCCCAAGTAATTGTTTATCCCCGAGCAAACACACAACGCAGCGACACAGGAAGACGTCTCCATTTTGGATTATAATAGGATGCTGTGTTTGTAAATAAAGGCATTTCCCAGGAGGTTATAAACCCCGCATTGGGGGCAGGGGAGACGGAGAAGCGCCGGCAGGAGCGGCCCCGTAGGAACCCGCGGGGGCTGGAGCGAGGGGCTGAATAGCGGGACTCCGCCGGCTCCTCCCGGGAAGAGCTCCAGGTTTAGGGAAGGTGCTTGGGCCGGGCCAGCCGGGATACCAGCGGGGATCAAAGACATAGTGAAACATTCCTGGCCCGCGTGACGAAATGCCGGCCGCCCGCCCGCCGATCCCACCGGCATCAGAGCCGGGAGGCGCGCCGAGTCCCGAGCAGCCTCCAGCACCACCTTGGACGTGGTGCCACCAAGGCCACCACCAACATGGTAGGATCAACAGGAGCTCCCAAGCTCAAGATGAGGGAATTCTGAGGGGAAAACACTCATTCTGGTACTTTATTAATAGCTCCTTCCAAAGAAAAAGGAAAGGTGGCTCATGTCCTCATCTCTGGACACAGGTTCTAGGGCTCTTGGAGACCTAATGTCCTATGCGCAGTCTGGGGGAGCCACCATGGCCAAGTTCTGCTATGGGTTTCCACCACCCAGCCACCCATCACGTCACTCCAGGGGAGTCTAGCAAGGAGAGTCCTGGCCAAACACTACCGAGACCCTGCGCTGAGAAGACCAAAGATGCAGATGGAGGACACCATGACCAGGGGGTCCTCATCCACCCATGAAGCCACCACTGGTGAAACCAGGGAAACGAGGGAAGGCTGGACATGGAAAGACAGCCGAGGTGCAATGGGCGCAGTCGGTGAGAACAGGATGACAGCAGAGGCATCATGAGATGGAGTGCAAGGAGCAGCGGGGAACAAAACAGCAACCAACATTGCCTTCAAAGCCGGCCAAGCCACGCGGACTCCACGGGTGGCTCCAGTCTGATTTTGACCTCTGCCACAACCTTGCTTCCATCTTCTTTTTTTATTTTATTTTTCCCCTGCTTTTTAAACAAATCTCAGTAAGCTCCAGAGCTTTAACATGGCCACAAGGTGCCCTCCCGCTTGGCCCCATGTGCAAGGCACGCCCCACTGAAGACCAGGTCAACCTCAGCGTTTGGGGAGGAACCAGCTGCTTAGTGAGAGACCCCCCCGGCCTGGGGGATGACGTTTTCTCATGCATTTGCTTTTCTCCCTTTTTTAAAAAAAAAAAGAAAAAAAAAACTTTTTTTTTTCTCTTCCCTTGCCAAAAGCATCAAGTGGCAGGCTGCAAGCTCCCGACCTTCCTCCCACCCTGAACTGAGCCCCATTCATTAGGCCGTCTCTCCGCGGGGCGGGCCGGCAAGGAAAACAGCCTGCAGAGCCCAGGGAAGGGAGAAGGAGGCTGGGACGGGTTACAGCAAGGGGAAACCACTCAACCCTCCCACATTTACTGAGACTCGGCCTCCAGGAGGAGCGAGCAAGTCCTACTGGTAGTTGGACCCAAACGTTCTCTTCCAGGGACGGATCTTCCCCGGGGATGTGGATTTTTTACTGCACTCTTTACCATGTTCAGCATCTTTCCAAAGCCCCCATGCGAGCTTGGCTGACCGCAAAGCTGTCAACCTCCACCTGTCTCGCTTCCCAAATCCCCTCTCGCGCCGATAGCGATCTGCCTTGCTTAATCCCACCCTTTGGGCTTGGAGAAGGAGCCGGAACCTCCCTTCCCTGGCCCTGCAACAGCAGCACCAAGTCCAGCTGAAAGCTACAACCAAATGGGCACGAGCTGCGCTTCACCTGGGCCAATGCCATCTCCTGGCCAATGACATCTCCACTCTCACTGCATGTCCCTGGCAGAGCTGCTCTCCATGCAACCCTCAACGTGCTCCTTGGCCAACACAGCTCGTCTGCTTCCAGATCTACCCAAACTGGGGGTTGTGCTGTTTTCTAAAGCAAGTTTTTGCAAGCAATTTGCAACACTGGGGCATGAACATGGGGTGCACACTGGCCTCTGGAGGGAGATGAAGACTGAAGGAGGGTCTTCCTCTTCCCATAGAGCACCTATGATCAAAACAATATGCTCCCAACTCCTCAAAACCCCATTTAAACATGCTCTTCACCTAACTAAAATGTGCCAAAAGAAAAAGATTTTTTTTAAAAAGTCCACTTTGGAGCATTGCTGCAAACTGTGTTTATTTTCCTTTCTGGCCTGGGTCTCTCCAGTTGGGAATTTTCAGCGCTGCACTCCTGTGTGGGGAAGCAGAGCTGCCAGTAAATCTGCCAGTAAATCAGAGCAAATTCAAAACAAATGCTCTTTCATGTGGAGGCATTCGGCTTTGTTTCACGGCCTGTGGAGCTAACCGTATCCCTCCATGAGTCAACTCTCCTATCAGCTCCTCATTAAACTAAATGGCTACAATTACATTTGTGGAGGGGGAAAGAGAGAAAAAAAGAGCAGCTAATGATCCTACAAGGCTCTGTTTCCAGGCGTATTTTTGGGGAGGGGGTGAGGGGAGGTGGCAGTGGGGAACCTTTGATAACTAAGACACCCCCCCTCAAAAAAAAATATTAAATTGAATAAAAAAAAAAAAACTGTGGGGGCCAGCGGCTTTATGAATGCAGCGTTCCCCTGCGGAGCGGCCCGGCCGGGTGTCGATGTGCCGGGAGATTAGGCGACCCCGCGGAGGGCCCCGGAGACAGACGAGATGTTATCGATAGCCCGGCACCGCGCAGAAAGCCCCCTTTTAAAAGCGAGTGCTTCCTCTGCTTATTGCAAGCGGCATCCTGCGGATCTCGGCTCCCTCTGCCGCACGAGGAAGAAAAAAAAGTGGGAAAAAAAAACTAACATCCTGATTGTGTCGTTTTGCTCCATGTCTTTTTTTTTTTCTATATGTTCCCAAAAGCTATAGGCTCCAAAGCAAAGAAAAAATCCAACTCTGCCCCAAAACACCCTTAAAAAAAAAAAGAAAGAAAAAAGAAACCTGGCAACAAGTTGCTCTGCTCCCTTTCCCCCTCCATTTGATTAATTCTCATTAGGGCCCTTGAGCAAATAATATGGTCCCCTCTCGAATAACGGCCAGGGTATACGTTACACGGCAAGAAAAACAAACACGGCGCGTTTAAGGACATCCACGCCGAGCGCAATTCCTGGAGAGAGCCAAGGGCCCTCCCAAGGCTCACAAGACCAGCACGATGTCCCGCTGATGGGAAGCCAGCACAGACACACGGGGAAGGGGTTTCAGGTGCTTGGCCATCATATGCTAATGCTTTGGGAGCAGAAATGAGGTCAAAAGCCGGGCTTCACAGAGAAGAGAGTTGCCAGGGATGGGACACCCTGAGAAAGCCATATCTGCTGCTCCATTGAAGCCCAGAGCACGGTGGGGAAACTATCCTCCAAAAACCCGTAACGTCACCTGCAGATTGGGATGGTAATGGGAAAACGAGGGATACGCAATGACTTCTCCAAGGTTGCAGTTGTGGTTTCTCCCCAGCTACCTCCAACCCCACAAACAGGACTGATGGAGCAGATGCCCACGCATGGCCCACATCCACTAATGCAGGTTAGACAAACACCAATGCAAGGTTCACATGCACCATTCCCCCCAACATACAACCCACAGGGGAGTTCGTACCTGCCTCCCGTGAGCAAGAAGACATGGCACAAGGTACCCGTACCTCAGTCATGGGCCCACCTAGTGCTGCCTGCCCACCAGCACAGCTCCTTACAAACCACAGTGCAACGCAACAACTGGGAGCAAGCAAACCTCGCAGCTCATCCCCGTGAGATGTCACACGCAGGCCCCCACAAAAACACAGCCCATGATAAGCTCCCAAACACCGTGCTAACAATCCCGGCAACACAGAAGAGGTGGAAGAAGACACAGTCACTCAATCCTCCCACGAGGGAACCACTGTACGTGCTCCAACAGCCTTGCACGTGTTCCAACAGCCTGTACCCTCTAGTGAATAATTTGTGGGTATCACTTAGCCTTCGCCAGCACACCTCTTCCAGCCTCACTCCAAAAGCATAAGGCTGGAATCCAAAGTAAATGTGGAGTTGGGAGGACAAAGAGCTGTGCCTAGGATCATCAACACATCCCCTCCAAGTGAGGTGCTCAGCCGCTACCAAAAAGAAACCCAATTCCCTCTGTAAGCACACCTTTCTCAACAACTTGCATCCTCCAAACTCTCCAGTGTGCCTCTTCTTGTTCACTTTGGCCCCCTTTGTCAATGGGAACAGCAGGGACACAGACAGAGACAAATTGTCCCAAGAAATGCGTCCAACGGTAAGGTCAGTAAGAGCGGTCTTACCTGAAAGCCCCCCAGGGGCTAGACAATTAGTTCCCCCTGTTTCAGTGGAGGAAGGCACAGAGTCTGGACAATCTGCTGGGGCAGAGGGAAAGAACAAGAATTAAGTACATATATTCGTTCCGTAGCATGCTGTAAACAACGCTGAGAGCAGAACACGCATTCCAAAGAGCTGAACAGGAAGCAATTACTAATTGTCTGCACAGACACGGTAGTTCATCAAGATGCATCCACCCTAACTCATCGCCTCCACCAAGGCTCTACACTGCACCTCATCACCAGCCAACGATGATTATAGACTGGCAAAGATTACAGACTGGCTCCCATCTTTCCGTCCAAGTCAAAGGCTCATGAAATGCAACCCGTCATCCTTATGACATAACTCACTAAGCTCCCCAGAAGCCTAAATCACTGCCTTCTCCTTCAAGTTTAGCCAACACCAGTGCTCACTAACGTGTAAACTGAAAGAGAAATGGCTAATTGCTACAAGGGGTCTAATGTTAAGGCTCCTTTTTCTGCAAAGGGTCTAAAGTTAAGAGTGCTTTCCTCATCAACTTTTCATCAGATTTGGATTCCCTACTGATACCACCTGGCTCACTGCTGCATCTCAAAGAGCAACCACTTGGAGGATCAAGGCCTAGTAAGTCATTTCTCCAGAATTCATCCCCAAAATCCTAGCAAAGAAAATCCTGTGTGTGCATATAACCTCATTTTATCAGAGTAAAGTATAAGCCCTAACAGGAATATACAGTTTAACAGGATATACTTAATCAAACCGAAAACAATGGAGGAGACAGGAAATGGACTTACTTGTGGAATACTGTATATTATACACGCGCTAAATGCCTGGTCATGTTTTCTGGGTTCCAGAGAAATACATTGCTGCCTTTTTTTTAACCCTTTCCACTTCCTAGTCTGGACAACTCCCTCCACCCTTCCCTGAGATGATTCCAAATGCTTTGGCTGTGGATGCTGTCTGAACACAGGCTGGGCCATCCTACATGCGGTGCCCCATGGTTGTCTTCAACCTGCACCTCTCACACATGGCAAGCTCCTCCACGAGTCCCTGCGAGTCCTGGGGGTAAAGGACATGATTTGCCCCTTCCACATCATCTTACTCTGGAGGTCATACATAGCCAGGTCCTCTCTTAGCACACTGGACACGTTACAGGAGAAAAGGATCTAATTCACAAGATGGCAGGAGAGAATCCGATTAGTACGTCCACTTAGGACTTAAAATACATAACCCTAATGATGAGATTTACAGCAGTCCTGCTCCAGTTTGATTCCAAAGACTAGGGCCATTTGGAGTTTCTCCACTGAAGCTAAAAGCTTGGATGGACTCAGAGGCTCCCAAAACACCTGGGCTGTTCCCTGATCAGCAGCAACAGTCCAAGAAGAACCAAAGTATTTCATTACTGTTTACTTCTCTTGATAGCTACCAGTTCCCTTCCCACGTCTCACTATCTAACAGCCAGTTTGCTTTATCAATCACAAACATCCTTCTAAAGCAGAGTGCCCAGAGGTCTCTTACAGGACACAGTGCTGACATAGCCTTCACTCTAGAACAAGAGTGATGATCCCATATGTCACAGGCAGGAAAACATGGACCTCCTGAGCTTGTAGCACTAAACGTGGCTAATTTTATCCTTGCACAATTCATATCACCCACAGATTACCCAAGGACTCTTGCTGGTATGGGCTACTCTGGCTCACTTTATGTTTGGCACTGCAGCAATCATGGTCTCAAAGGTTTATGCAATTCTTGAGAAGAGACTCACATGCACTAAATTCTCCTACCGCGATATAAAACCATCGTGAAGATATGCAATTATTCCCGGTGGCTACTGGCCCAACCGTGCAAGGTACCGAATATTCCCTGGAAGCTGCCAAATCTTCAACTCCCATGAAAACCAACACCACATGAGGGCACACGCCTCTGCAGCTAACTCTCAGCAGGTTTCCTGCACTGCTGTGTCCAGGCACCACCTCCATGCAGGCTTCCCAGGACACTGTGTGCACCACAGGCTCATGGACATCCCAGCCAGGACCACCCTGCAATGATGAGACAACCACCCCTTTCACTGGGGGGATCTCCTCTGGTCAGCAATGCTGGAGATGCCGTCAGGAGCAGCATCTAGACAGAGCATGGGACAAAGGCTCCAGCAGAGGCTACCAGTGCATCCGTATCAGAAGAACAAACTATCTACCCGAACCCTGGTGTCTGAGGGCACCTCTGTCCTCCCTGCCTCCAACACAGTCATACCGGGCAGCTCCTGCAGAGACATCCTGCCCATGTATACTCCTTCAGATAAGAAATGGAGAGAGTCACCCCTACAACTCTTCCCGCAGAGACTCAACAGAGCACGCTGTCCCAGACCCACCGCCTCCTGGCTGTCAGAGGGCAGATCCTTCTGCTTTACAGAAAGGTGATATGTAGCAAATCCATCAACAAGGCACACATGACGTTTCGGTGACTATAGCAGTCCCCTCTGCCTCCCTTTCTGTCTCTCTCTCCCACCTTTCCTTAAGCAAATGGCACAACCCACGCAAGAGGGATAGATGCAGCCTATGTGTCCATATATACAAAACCCTTATGAGACTTAGCACCAGGTGCCTAAGCATTTTTATTACCGCTACCATGCTTCATGGAAGAGCACTGTGTTCACTTTCCCGAGCTGCATCATTCTCCACCACTTTTGCAGCAAGTTCTTCGACATTACCCAAGTATAACTGGAGCAACCATCCCTAACCAACCTCTCTCAGCCTGAGACAGCTCATTTTAACTGTCCACATAACGGGCTACAGCCCAAGTCACTGCTCCACTCTCATTTAACCAGCCTCAGGTCCAACCATCATCCAGCCAAAGCTCGGGAACAGAAACAGGGGACACCCCAGCGTGGCTCTGCCGGCCACACATCACTGCCACGGTGCCCAGCTGTTAAATTCGCTCTTGTTCTCACCACAATAGCCCCAGTGGAAAAGGCACTGTGCGTGCAAACAGAGAGGAAAAAAAAACATTAGCAGAGGTTGCCAAAGCCACCTGCAATGACAGACTGATGGGCCCCGCTTGCGCCTGTCACCGCTCCGCGCGCCCCGTGCCTCCCAGTTCAACTGCCAACTGGGCTGCTCTTTCAAAAAGAGAGGGGGAAAAAAGAGAGAGAGAGAAAAAAAAAAGAAACTGGAACTTTTTGGTGAGTAACCCGGTTGTTTCTGTGCTTCCGATTGGCAGCGTTAATCACTTCCTATTGGCTGATAGGAGGAACTTTTCCTTTCGAAATGGCACATTCATGCGCTGCGGCTTTTCTGTTTACACACATTTTGCTACCTTATGTCAACACTTGCTAATGAATAAATATATCACTCGGCTAACTGAAAATGAGGTCCTGGCAAAGGCAGATTGGATGTTTGAAACCCTGCTAATAGATTTATCCCAATGTCTTTGCAGGAAACCCAAGGCAAGCATTAACCCTTCTCTCCTGGAGCTTCACGAAGGCACAGAGCCCCCCTGAAAAACCCTTTGCAGAAGAGTTTCCATCCCGCACCGGCATTGTCAGCAGGTAAAAATAAAGGAAAAAGAAGAGGAAATCTCCACAGCTGAAGCTTTCCAGGGAGCAATCCCTTGTCCAGCCAGGAAAGGGCCAAAACGATGTGTCTTGTCCCCAGAACAACCCTCACTCTACACTTGGCAAGGGGCCTTCTGAGTCAGCCAGCTCCCAAGTAGTGCTCGCGAGGGATGTTGCCCATAACACTGATACCTCCTTGTTAATTAAGGCCCGGTTATCTCCTGTTTTTGCAAAATATTGCACACTTTGCAACCCAACCGCTCGCTAAACAGCTCTGCCAGCCCCCGCTGGGCATTTCCCAGGGAAGAGCCGCAAGCGGCAACAGGGCCCAGTGAAGTCCTATCCCCGAGGAAGCCCAGGTCCCCACCGGATGGGGCCTGGCACCCAAAACAGCTCTTTTGATCAAGTAAGAGCCAGTCTTTCGGAATGGGCCTATTTCCAACTCCCTCGCGACCCGGTGGAGCTGCCCCGGCTACTCCTCATCCATGAAGCCATGGAGGGGGGGGGATGGAGAGAGAGGAGGGGGAGCTGCCCCCCCGCCGCCTTCATCCCCCTTTCCGATTTCCAGCAGCTCTTTCCGCCCTGCCAGCCTTACTTATATCCTGCTGTCGGCCACGGCTTTGTGCAGGCGGCTGCCCGGCCCCAAACGGGCTTTGCAAGAGGCAGAGCTGTCTTAAAAATATATATAAAATAAAGGGTGGAAAAAAAGATTACACTTTTCTATCCTCTTTCCTCACTTTTTGCCACCTGCCCGGAGGTGGCTGTAAAGCACAGAAAGGTCCCCGTGAGCCACATGTGCCAAGTCTCACTTGGCTTCTCTGCCAGCACCAAGCGACTTTCCCAAGTGACCCGGTCGTGCTGAGCTGAATTCTTTAAAAAAAAATCCCTATCGCGGGTGAGCTCGGGAGCGAGCAGTAATCACATTGCGCAGCCTCAGAGCCTGGCTCCATGCCCTGCACGCTCCAAGCGCTCCAGCCCCCAGCTTGCCTTTTCCCTCCGCGGCCATCCTGGCTTCTGAAGTGAGCAGCCGAGGCCTAGGCTGCAACTGCAATCCCGTCTGGAGTTTCCTGCTCTCTCTCTCTCTCTCTCTCTCTCTTTTTTTTTTTTTCCGAGTCTGTGCAGAGGATTTCTTAAACAAATCATGCATTAATTCTTCCGGGGGGAGGGGGGGCGAATTGGATATAGTAGCGTTGGGATCAGACACACACACAGGCAGCCCCCAAAGTGAAAATGCATGGGAATAACAAAGGCAGGAGGCATTTCCTTGGAGTGAGGGGACAGCAACGTGCATTTTAAGGGGAAAACGCAAAAAAAAGGAAAAAACCAAAAAAGTAAAAAAATAGCTCTACTCACCCGTTGGTTTGAGAAAATCCATTGGATATCTGGAGTAGGGTGGAGGGGGAGACTCTGGAATGAGAAAAGTACAGAGAAAATAAAGGCCGAGCCATGAGAAATAAGGGGGGGGGAAAAAAAGTAGAAAAAAAAAAGAGATAGGAACTTATGATAACAGTGGCATTCTTTAAGCCAAACTGTTTGTCTTAGCTCTGGGGGTTGGAGGCAGGGCAGCGAGGCGGTGATTGCCTTGATATTTAGCTGTCAGATAAACAAAAGGGGCCGTCTGGCGCCAGGCTCGCTGCTATCTGCCGCGCGGGCCGTCTGCGCCGG